ATTCCTCTACATACAGCTTAGCGATTGAAATTCTGTGGCTTGACTGAAAGTAGCCCGCAAGTTTGAATCGCTAATTTCGAATTCATCGTTTAACCCTGAACAGATTTGTTCAGCAGAGTGTTAGGTTGTTTTTTTTACTCATTTTTTGATCAAAAAAATTCTCAAAGACATGAATCTTGGCCAGAATTTGATGCTCTTTAACATGGTCGACTGAATTTTTTCGTAGCTCTCCACATGAAAAGCAAATTTTACAGAAAACAGGGTTTTCAGCTGGAAAGTTGGAGATTTTCGGATCTCTTTTCTTTGTTTTAGAACTTAGCCATTTTGTACTTTACAAAAATCTTTTACATATGGCTTTGTAGCGAATTGAATGACGATTCTGGTGGGAAAAAATTGACCCGATCAGATTTAAACTGACAGAGTTATAGAGGAAACAAAATAGTCCGTTTTATTCTGCGCCACCCGTTAAAATTGTATTTGTTATTGACGATATAAAAATAGCTTATACTCAAAGAAATATATTACAAATATTAAAAACAATAATAAAATCAAACTTATTGTTAATAATAAATAAAGTTAATGATTTAGAACGAAGTACGGTTATGCATATGAAAGTCATAAAACAGACTTTTATATTGACAGTGTTCAATATAAAACATCAATTACAAATATAAAAGGAATTATTAAGAAATATAACAACGGTGATTTCAAGTATGAATTAAATCAAAACCATATTAATGTTATATTAAATGGTGATCCAGATTTTATATTAAAGTATTATAAAAGTTTAAATTTTGATGGTTATAGGCAGAAATTAAAAAACAAATTAATGATGGTTTAAATGAAATTGTTCATATTAGTTGTAATATTAATTATGAACATTGCAAGATTTGTAATCAAGAAATTATCGTTCAAGTATGTCCAGCACCAATTGAGGGTGTTTTAAGGGGTGTAAACAAATTCAAGGTAATAAATGTTCTTTTGATGAGCGTTGTCTAAATCAACAACAAAATGCTTATGATAGTTGTTTCGATAAACAAAAAACAAATAATGATGAAAAGAATAAATTAATTAAAATTGAACGAGAGGCACAAAGATGTTTAACAGAAAATTGTGATATTTCTAAAAAGGACATCAAATAATGTTAAAATGGAATTATAATAATAAATTTTTTTTATTTTCACTTTTTTGTATCACTTAACCACTAGTTTTCATTGTAAATAAAACCTGTTTTATCGATCCATGTCTGGATTGTGACTTTCATAATGGGACCCAACTTTTGAATCATTTGCTCGTGAACCATGTTTAGATTCGAGGCAATGTCAAATCTCTTCTCCCTAGGCAACTAAACGTCGGCATTTAAATTTTCGAGTAATAATCATTTTCTACATTTGATCAAATTTTGAATCGCTTCAAGTGCATTCGGGAACTTCATCAAAGGTATGACATTTCACTTGATTTTTGAATTAGCGGCACCTTACGTTTTTCTTCGATTGTTTTTGTAACTGCGAAAACGTCTAATACTTATGGTGGGCTAATACAAACACTGTAAGTAAACTAAAAAATGCTCAACTGAAATTTTGAAATTTGATTTACATTTAGTTCAGGTTTTAAATTCTATCAAGAATTAATCGTTGGTAAATTGTAAAGACAAACTCTAGAGAAATGAGAAAAAATATGTCGAAAAACGATAATTTTAAAATTGTCTAAACTTGAGTAAATTTGTTAAAGCTAATACAGTTGTTGTTGATAACTAAATCATTTTTTTTTTTGAGTAATAATTGATCCTTGAATCAAAGTTGGTAATAATAATAATAAACGTTTAAAATATGAAGGAGAAACATTACTGATCACTTGCGAACTAATTTTGATTTATGAATTCATACGATACTACACAAGACTAAATAATATAATTGTTCTAGCTTGATCCTTATATCTCCTATTAGTCGGGACTGATAATGATAAAGAAGTTCCGAGTAGACTGGGACGTTTAACCATTGAAAAGGCGAAAAAGGAAACAAATAAATTTCTCATGTATTATCGAGTTTTCATTTTCAATGTATAGTGTGCGTTGGGGGAGAGGTCTCTGAGGACAGTATGATAATGAGTTCGAGAAGTAATTCCATACAACAGATATGTGCGTGACATGGTCGGAATTTGCCTGAGCCTTTTAAATAGTTACCTGTTATGTATTAGTTCATGAGGAAGCTATGCTAAAATTGTTATAGCAATTAGATTTATTAACACTAATTGTTTTATGAGGTTTTGAATATTTATTTTCAAAAATTCGCGAAAGGGTGTCTGTAGTGCATATTTCTGATGCACCAAGATCAAAAACTAAGTCGACGAAAAATATTTCGAAAATTCTGACTTTTTCAGCTCTTATTGAAAAAATGAATTTTGAAAAAATGAATTTTCTCAACGAAATAAAATTTTAAAAGAAGCGGGTCGTACTTTTAAAGCTAAAGCTTCGGAGAATCTAATGGTATTCAAACGAGGGCTGTAGTCCTTGATAGGTTTACAAAATTCGGTGCCGCCGTTTGAGAGTACTAGTTTGGGAGGTCTGTGTTGAACAGCCTTTTAACTTTTAACTTTATCAAACCACGCTTTCTTATTCAGTTTTTGAAGCGGAATAAGAAAAAAAATAATTTGAAACTTACATACTACTACGCAATGCGAAAATTCTCGAAAAACGAATGTGGGAGATTTTCAAGTTTTTATGCTCTATCGAGTTTTTTTGATTTTTCGACATGAAAAGAATTTTTTGAAACTTTAAAAAGTATATTTTCTTAAGCAACTCAACGAGCACTATCGAACGATGTGGAATAAGTTCAAAAACTTTTGCTCAAATTTTGCATTCCGTGCACCTTAGGCAAAATAAATCATGTTCTCTCTCGCATCGAGACCACAACAATAGCAGCTAAGATATACATATTTGTGATCAGCGTAAAATTCTCTACAAGATAGGCTAGGTCTCGTCTCTTTTTTAGGGGGGGAGAACATCCAGGCCGGTTTTTGATGAAAAAATGAAAGTTGATTTTTCAGTACTTTTAAGGATGATTAATATACTTTGAAACATGCTCTATTTAATGGCAAAAATTTTAGGTCCTAGAACTTATTTGAGCTGGGAAAATCCTATACACAAAAACACACTAAAAAACCCGTGTCCATCGGAAAATCGGATTATATGCAAAAATTTTAAAAAATCAAACATAGCTATTGGGCAAACAAACATATATTCGGAATCAGCATCAAGTGCGCTATCGACTGGTAAAAAACTTCTCTATTTTTGGCCTTTCTAAGTTGGAGAAAAAGAACAAAACATTTTTCTAGCGCATTTTCTCAGGAGGTGTATTTGATGCAATGCGTGCGCGAACTTTACCGAAGCTCCAACTTTGATGAAATTTTCAGAGAATGCTGTCTTATATATGACATGTCAACACAGTTAGCGCCAATTAGGATCGACGCTTCTGGACCGAATGGTAGGTCTTCCAAAAACATCCTAAAAGCCTTGATTTTCAAGCTCGATTCCTCTTTTTCAGACACCAAAGCATTTCCATTGAAAACTAATGGCATATTCGGAATCAGTGTGTGAAATTGCATCGGATGATGTATGACACAATATATTTTCTAACAAAAACATTTTCTCGAGAAAAATGTAGGTGAAAACACACTTCAGGTGTTTTTCGTCGAAAAAAAGTTTTTTTCAAAAAATGCTTTTTTTTCTTAAAGGTGGTTTTTGGAGGGATATACAGCCACTTTTGAGCAAAAGAAATCCGTTTTTGAGCACGAAAGTTACATGACCGCCTGCTATGCAAAAAATGCGCACTGTGTGTGGGGGGATGCTTTTCTTTCACGAGGTTATTAGTCATGAATCCCATGATATGCTTCAGTAATTTTGTGTATATGTGTATTTCTCACAGTGAGCATAAATAAATTTTTCTGCGCATGAATTCCACAATGCAATATTTGCTAGCCAAAAATCTTCAACGTCCTCAACTCACCGAAGAAGTTTTTAATAATCCTCTGTACATCCCATGTTCCGCCCTAGATGAAATTGAGATCATGAGCATGGTATCAATAGCATTTGCTGCTAACGATGCTGAATCACTAGAACGCGTTAATAAACATGGTGCTCGTAAAGTAATGTTAAAATATCTACTAACCATAAATTCATTTACCGATCAACGATTATCCAATCTCATATTAAAATGTTTTCAAACATTAACAAATACCACGCAGGGTATCAATTGGATTACCGTTCAGCAAAATTATGATATATTAAAAAAAACTGACATGTATAAGTTCGATCTGACAGCCGATAAACTGTACGGGTCCTACTGGGAGCTCAACATTGAATCGACCATAACCGACCCAAAATCAAAACAAACAAGAAAACTACTCAATACTTATCGAGAACTAGGCTTTAAATTAGAAGAATTGAAAGTCTATTTTAATCATGTTCAGATCGATAACATACCGTATGCAAGTTCATCATCACCAGGTTTCGCTGATCAAGATGCACAAGTAAATATGAGACAATTTCCAGTTAGTACACGAAAAAATTCAGGACTAATCCATGCAGAGAAAACAAAATTGGAACAGGCTATTTTTAAAGTACCACTAGGAAAGCAAGTTATTGTACTCGACTTTACTAATGACAGAATTCCAGGAGGTATGAAATCCCCTGAGTAAACTCATAGTAGACTACATTCTTTTTTCTCTATAGGCTCGTTTTTGTATGGTGGTACAGGTCAAGAGGAATCGATCTGTTACAATTCTGATGTCTACCGTGCACTTTTGGATTTCAAATATAAAAAATTCAGTGGTGGCTTTATGATTCCCGAATATGGTGTTCTCTACATAAAAAACGTCACATTCTTTCATCCTCAACAACAACGCTTGGAACGAAAGATCGATGCTATCGCTACTTCTTGTTACGATTCCACTAAAAAAGACGGTCTCTATCTATTACCTGCAAAACCCATCGAAAATATACGTAAAAAGATTCGAACGTTGATTCGTGCCGCTCAGGCTAATTCGGATGGTAATGGTTCTAATACGTATTTGTTATTGGGATCGATGGGAACGAGTGCAAATAAAAATGATATAACGAAAATTGCATTATTATTTGCTGAAGAATTACAGTCACCATTGAATAGGCATTTGAGAACACAACAACGTCATACATTTGAACAAGTCTGGCTTGTAACAACAAATGAAGAAAATGCAAACATCTTTCACCAATGTTTCAAACACGTAATCGACAATGATACTTCGAGATCAGAACCGGAAAAAACAGCATAAACCAACTTATTAGAAACATCGTAATTTATATTATAATTAAGTGGGAGAAATGCTTGAGAGGCTCCACTAGCCGATGGAGCACTTACTTAAAGAAGTAATAACAAGTTGAAAATCTTTTTTTCCTTTAAACCATTCGCATTCGATTCTCCATGCAAAAATAACCTATAAATCTAAAGTTTTAACTTTTGCAGCCATTTTGTTGCTGAGTTATAAAATATTTTTCGGAAAGACCTCATCAAAGTTTACAAAAAGCATGTATTTCTGATAGGTCTTTAGTACTTTAACTATAACTCAAAAGCCATATGGCGAATATTTTTGAGCAATAGCTCATTCGAAAGGAAATTAAAAATAGAATAAAATAATACATTAGAGCAGAGCTGTTCATGTAACCTTGATGTAATACGCTCAAATTACTCTCAAGAGTTATCGATTGAAAATCATTTTTGAAAAACATGATCTTTTCACATCAGATCGGTTAGAATACACTGAAAATGTGTTAGATGAAATATACTGCAGGAATAGGTTGATATAGTGTAACTGTAATGTAGTAGGCTACCTGTCACTCTACACGTATTAAGATTCATCATGCAACGTAAATATGTTTTGATACTTTCCATACCTTCATCTCTTTCATACTTTTCAACTTTTTCTAATTTTTGTCCCTTTCAACATTTACTACTGTTCATACTTTTCATCCCTTTCCTTTTTTCTGTGCCTCGAATGCCTCGGTACTCAAAGTGGGGAGGGGGAAGACTACATGAGAGTGAGCCGCTTAATAAGGTTGTTCTAGGCAAGAAGTGCGGAACAGTGGAGGTCTACGATGTATGTAGAATACAGCACCCTTTCTAGAAGTGCAGTGAACATCGCATTCCGCCGAAGAGAGATCATAAATTTTGAAAACTAGAAAGGAATGAAATGTTGAAAGAGATGAATAATATGAAAAGTCATTAAAGTTTTCTTTTACATTGAGCCAGAAAATAAATTTCGACCATTTGTGGAGCTGCAAATTCCCTATGAAATGAGCATAAGAAGTTTGAAAAAAGGTTGCAACAGACGACCAAAAATGTAAAATACTCGATCCCATGACACTCAAACATCATCATTTAAAAAGCATGCTTTTTTGCATAAAGTGCTAAGAAAAATTTCCTTGTCCATGGTTTCATAAAATAAATTTCTCCATGTTGCAGGGCGGAAAGTTCTCTGTAAAATGAGCACAAAAGCTTTGTAATAAACATTCAGCGCATGACGAAAAACCGCGTGTACACCATCTGAATAAGCTTTTTTCTTGATTATTTAAATGAAAGCTCATGACCCAAGTAGACAAACATTTGGAAAAACGCGTTTAAACGCTCAAAAGGGAACTACGCATATGCATTGAGACGTTCCACAACTTTTCTCATCATTTGTTCATGAGATGCATATAAATTATAATCTTTATCAAATTTATACCAATTAACACCCGTTTCGTCTTTACCTAAGATCGTAAGTAAATTTGGGTTAATGTTGATAGTTAATCATTTTCATTACTTTAGTTAGATTCATTTAAATAGGCAAAACTATTGTCAGTCCAAAAATATAATGGCCCATGAGTATTTTTTGAATAACGTTAAAACGCGCTTTTATTCCAGAATTTAAAAACAATGAGTTTTAACGCTCAAAAACTGGAGTTTTCGCCGTTTTCACGGTCTGAAAGTGAAAATTTTGCGCAAAAAAACGCGTTTCTTGCGTTTTTTTAATGAGCGTTACTGACTCACAATCGCGGTTCCCTTTTGAGCGTTTAAACGCGTTTTTCCAAATGTTTGTCTGCTTGGGGAAATTTAGATTAAGAAAATATCCTTAAAAATAAAAATTTTTATAAATTTTATGATATGTATTTCGCAATTTTTAGTTCATTTTCAATTTTGGATGAAAATCTCGGTAATTTTTCAATGTAAATATTCGAAAAAACACCAAAGTAGTCGGATAAGATAGAAATACATATCAATCGACTCAGTTTTTGGCCCTGATTTCGAATATGATAGTTTTATTGTATAAAAGTTGAGTTCTGATCGAGAAAACTGAGAATTACGGGCAGAATTCCTAGTTTTTAGTCTGATTTTCAATACAAATTAGATATTTCGAAAGGAAAGAAAAACATTTTTTATTTCGATATATAACTTTGTTCTTTGTTTCACGACGGTTCTAATGGCGCAAGAATCAAGAGTCCAGCGCTTAAACTTGATGACTTGATTCCTTTTTGAGGATGGAGGCTTCTTTTTGAACACCTCTTGAAAATGAATTTTTTTAAAAGGCTTAACGCGGCTCGGGAACCTTGAAATATATTTTTCTATAGTGGCTGTTCATCCGCTGCTTCCGAAAATAACATTCGGAAGGTTTCTCGGCCTTGTCGAACTGAGATAGATTATGTTTATGAAAAAGTGACGATTTTTCGAAAAAACATCTCTTTTCAGTTTTTGATTTTGTTTGTCGAAAACGCGCACTGAAATTTTTTTAAATATGATATTCGTATACAGGTTGAAATTCTGCGTCGAATGATGTGTATTTGAGGCAAAAATAAAATCTTGCTTGATCGTTGACTTAGCGGAGCCTTATAACACATTTATGTTCGACGTATCTATAAAAGTCATTATTTTAGTTTGAAGGAAAATATCACCAAAAAATCATCTAAAGAAAAAACGTCAAAAATAAAAAATAAATAGAAGGATATATTAACAAAAAAATTTAGTCTATACAGAATGACTTTTTTTACTACAAAGTATTTTCATGAACAAATAATTTCAACTTTTTCTTATCACCGACTTCTATTTCTACATTAACAATGCGATGTTTTTCCATTTAATATTATAACAATTCAAAATTATCTGATTAAAGGTACTAATAGGGTGCATAGTGTCTTGCTCCCGATTTTACTAATCTAGTTGTACCATCTCCTTTTGCCAGTGTTTGCCTGTTTGTGTTGATTGTAATTATGTTTGTTAATTGGAACTGAAATATAATTAGCAATGTCAAATATAATAAGCTTATGCGTAAAACGAACAGTCTTCTCACTGTTTAATACTGTCTTAAAAATAATACTACGCTAACTATTTCGACACAGATGATTTTCAAAATTTAGATTCATGAAGACGACTGATTGGACTTATACTAGTCGAGGCGTATTTGTCAACAGTCAATGTCAAAACGATATCGAAAAAAAAAATTAATATTGGGCTCGATCTTACTCCAATATGCATATGCATTGAGACGTTCCACAACTTTTCTCATCATTTGTTCATGGGATGCATATAAATTATAATCTTTATCAAATTTATACCAATTAACACCCGTTTCGTCTTTACCTAAGATCGTAAGTAAATTTGGATTAGTGTTGATAGTTAATCATTTTCATTACTTTAGTTAGATTCATTTAAATAGGCAAAACTATTGTCAGTCCAAAAATATAATGGCCCATGAGTATTTTTTGAATAACTTTTTCACTATTCATTCAAAAAACATTAGAAAGAGTTCGAAACTTCAGGATATAGTTAGTGTTGTCAGCTAAATATGATTATAAGATCGATAAAATCGAAAAGGCATAGTTTTATTACTGGGTTTTCCCGAAATCCTTTCGGAAAATCGTAGGGTTTTGTAAAATTTCTTTCGAGATCTTCTATAAATATAATATAGAATAGCCTTAATACGTTACATTCTGAAGTCTTGAACTCGTTTTGATGTTTTTGACTGAATAGTGAATTTTTTAATATTACGTGAAAACAGCCTGGAAACCCTAATTTTCGTAAGTCTCCCTTTTCGCCAGATTTTTAAAAAATTTTCTAAAAATAAATATTACCATGAACTTTAGCATGTTCGATTACCCATAGTCCATCCGTCTTCAAGCCTATCAATAGTCACTGGGTGCCAGTCCTGGGACTCGAGCGAAATCCGATACGACACTCGAACCGCGGAAATCTAAGGTCTTACTTGATTCCCATTTTGAAGAGAACATTTCGGGCTATCAGCCGTGAAAAAGAATCAATACAATCTTATTGGAAAACTTTTACACACGCCCTGGTTTCCAAAGATCTCCAAGAGAACCTGTTTCAGAAAACTCTTCTGAAAATAATTTTGGTTATGAAAACATGCCCTCAGGTCACCTCTTTCGAATGGTGAGAACCGAAGTTCTCTAGCTAAAAGTCATTCAAAAAATACTCATCGGCCATTATATTTTTGGACGGACAATAGTTAATTTACCTACCGGCTTTGAGTTTTAATGTCCTTGTTTTATTGCCTTTGTTATCATGAAAATTATACTAGAATGTACTAAAATATCATACAGTTTATTGTAAAAACGAAACAAATTACGCACTGCTTGAGTTTCCATCCATGCATTATCTAAAGAGAGTATAGTTTCTACAAAACTTGCGAATATTTTTCTTTGCTGTTCACCTGTGTTTCTCGGATCATCTACATAACCTTTATAGATCAAATGACCATCTGAAAATAATCTTTCAATAAATTGAGGTGTCGGCCCTGTTTCTTCTGTTCCTAGTGCTTCTTCTTGGAATTCACGCATTAATGTTTTTGGAGCCTCTTCACCTTCAGATTTAAAAGATTGCAAGTCATATTCTCTCGGAAAAAAATTAAATAAACATACCTGGATCAACCATTCCCTTAAAAAGATTGGAGAAGTCCGTGTTATTATGCAGTACGAGGTTTGTGTAAATTAAAATTTATATGTTATTATTTTACATCATTATATTTTCGTTCTGTTATATTAAGAGTTAATATGCGCACGATCAAGTGAAAAAAGAATGTTTCCTTTTATTTATGCTGTGCAGATAGCATTAAAGTGTATGTTTATATGTAAAAAACTAAAAATCCATGCCACTAGAGCAAGCAAATTGTTCTATTGGTCAAAAACTTTCTATGAGACTAGATATAGAATTAGCATGAAAAACTGTCTATATGATGTAATCCTGACGGTTATTGGATGTTTTATTGAAGACTTATTCTAGACTAGGGCTGTGGCAGTTACCATTAATGTTACAGTAACTGTAACTGCTAGGCATGCACCAGTTTTTAACTGGTGTTGGGGCATCCGGAAGAATTGCTACAAATCAGTGATCACGATTCTCTCAGAGCTGTAAAACATCTAATTTTGTAGAAAAATGTTTGCTCTACAAAATGCATTTGTTAAAAGAATTCCAGAATCATTTCTAAGAAAACTCGGAGTATTCAAAAATACATTAA